GGTAGAAACTTTAAAGTGGTGGTGTTGAATCGCTAGAATCAAACAATGGTGCAAACGATCCACCGGAACGAATAAGATACCGAACGAACCCTAATTGCGTTTTGCATTCGCCAATAAATCCAGAATTACAAAAGCTGACCCCCCCAGTCACTAGAGGCGCTGAAAACTTATAGACAGGTTCTCAACACGGCACTTACCTTTCTAAGGGGAGATGTTTTGTGTCGTCTAAATACCAGATCACCGCAAGGTCTGGGGTGCGATTTTCGAAACCATTCGAGTACATTTCGTACACGAAATTTGGCTGACAGCAATGTAAATTAAATGGGGAGCAGTCAAATTTCGTGTACGAAATGTACTCGAATGGTCTCGAAAATCGCACCCCTGGACACACATGACCGCACCGTGTCCGTACTGAGACACGGCCGTGTCTCGCTGACGAGTTGTAGCGTGTTTTCTTATCTCGCAGTCTTCACATCTACGCACCGTGCCCGCGCCGCGCCCGAGTGGCGCCACCGCACCGCGTCCGTACCGTGCGAGATTAGTTTGGTTTAGTTTTTCACGGGCACGGTGCGTTGCAGGATGGAATCTCAGTATTTTTTCAGTACAAAAAAAAAAACTAGCCCAAATTTTTCGTCCTTTTGGCCTATTTTTCTCATGTTCTCCATCGTCCAACGCAATGATGCTGGGCAACATTTTAGGCTTTTCTAGGCACAAATTTATCAACTTCAAGAAGCGAACTAATAAGCTATCGACCGCACTCGTAGTACGACCGTCATGCGGCCGTGTGTTGGAAATGTGTGGTGTTTACCTTATTGATCGAGCAACACACTGCTGTGTCCGTAGGGTCATTTCACTGGTTCTCGGCTTGCTAAGTAAGAAATCGACTTTGGAGGTGTAGTTAATATGGAAAAAAGTGTTGGAGCAACAATGTGAGGATATTAAGTAAATCTTTGGAATGTTTTTTTATCAAAAATTGGTCGTCTAAATCTAAGGTCTAAACCATGCTTTATATGTATACAAAAAACGAAAAAAAACGTAATTTTTTTGGTTGTCGGTCACTCGCCGCAGATCTCGGCCAATTTTATATCAGTTCTCGGCCATACAAATTCCAGGTATTCGAAGAAGACGTCTGATGTCATCCAGCCTTTCTTGGCCGGATTTGCCTAGAACCCATCCATTTGGCATGTTATCAACTACCGCTCTAGGCGGTCTTACATATGGAAATAAAACCAAAGGTGGAGCAAATTTTCCGTCAGCGTTAAACACTTCTAAAACTGTCATGTTCTCTTTCGCATTTCCTTGTTGAACGTTGAACGCTGAACAAATTTTCAAACCCCTTTGGGCCGAGAACTTTACCAGATTTGGGGCAAAAGGCGCGGCTCGTGAGGTGGGTCAAATTTAGAGAAACAGCGCCGTTTTTCAAGTTCAGGGCAAAATAATTCGATTTCTGCATTTTGTTGAGCGTGATGTTCGTTAATTTAAAACTAAATATCCAAGATGTTTAATTGAAAATTTATTGTTTGATTTTTTGGTGGGTCATTGACCGAATGACCTTATAGAGGAGCCGCGCCTGGCAAAGTGAAAAACCGGATTCATCTCCATTGAAAATTCTTCGAGAGTCTCTCTCTGAAAATAGCTTCTAGATGATTTTCCTTAACGTAATCAACAATTCCAGGAACCATTTTCCAATAGCTTCTTCAGTCACAACTGCGCGAGCTTTATTGATGCTTCTGCTTCTCTCAAAGAGATTTCTGGGTTTCTTCTCATGAAGTTAGAGTACCAAGTTTGCTTCGGCATTCTTCCTTTAAATAAGTTCAGGACAGATTCTAAATTAATTTTCGATACAGTCTCTTTTTAATGGGAAATCCACATTTGGAAAGGTTAATCACCCATTCTTAAATCATTTTTTCGCCTTCTTCAGTTGATAGAGGCTGTGGTCCTGGTTTCCTCAGCTCATCAGAAACTCGACCAGTGTGCCGGTCTTGAAGTGTCGTTCTCGGGACTTTATACCTTCTACTGGCTTCACGGACTAACATATTTTTGATTCGGACTTCATATGTAAATCTTTTTTTTTATCGTTTTCAGAATATTGAAACATGGTTCCTTTAGCTACTGCTTTTGCCTTGGGTCTGACAGTTGTTTTTCTCTTGGAAGTTACACTTTTTTTTTGTGGGAGCCACTAAAAAAGACAGAAGAAAAAAATCTTTTAGCAAAATAGTTTAGGTCTGTGAGTTATCTTAAATGATGGGTACTTTAGTAAGGTAGGTGGTATAGGTACCTTCTCCATTGAACATGCATCAGGAATTTTATAATGGCCGACAATTGGAACACACAAAATATATGGATCCATGGGTTCTCGGCCACTGAACTTTAGTAGTGGCCGAGATAAGGTAGTTCTCGGCCCCTGAATATTTATGAAAATTGAAGTTCGAAACAAACATTATTTTATGTAATATTTGACGGCCGCAAACTAATATATAAAAAAGAGATATCCAAATGTACCTGTTAAAAAATTTATTATGTATTAACTATTTACATAATCTGAATGTTTTCAAAATAGAAACATTGAACGAGTATATGATTCTCTACTAACTAAAACTAAAATACGTGTTTTTTTCAATACTACTTTCCGGCCGCCTGAAATTTCATGAAAAAAAATAGTTTTAATAAGATTTTCTCATAAAATTATAAAGGTAAAATATATTCCTATAAGTAAAAACACTTTCCATACATTTCTAACATAAAAATGTTGAAATACTTACTATTTTCTGCTCAAACATCACTAAGCACTTTTCAAGAATAACAAACGTCGTACTCGCGACTTGAGTAGACCTCTACTAAATGATTTTTCAAGTCTAAACCAATTGCACCCCTAACAACACCCAAAGTCATATGGGTACGAGAAAGATACAGAGAGTCGGACGAACTCCCAGTATTTTTTCAGTACAAAAAGAGAAACTAGCTCAAATCTTTCGTCGTTTTGGCCTATTTCTCTAATTTTCTCAATCGTCCAACGCAATAGCTGCCAATTCGCTGTTGGTGAAGCTGGCGAACATTTTAGCTTTTTTTCACATACCAAGCGACAAACTATCGAACGCACTCGTAGTACGACCGTCATGCAGCCGTGTGTTGGGAATGTGTGGCTTCTACCTTATTGAGCGACATACTGCCGTGTTACTGCACGGACACGGTGCGGGCTCGGTGCGGATACGGTGCGGTCATGTGTGTCCAGACCTTAAGAAGTTTTACTTCAAAAACTAATAAAAAGTTTGACATGTATACAGGGTGTCCTGGGTAAGTATGCAGTCTATAGGGATCGGGCGTGGTTTTAAAAAATTTAACCATTTGAAAAAACAAAGTTGATGATGATCACGAAGAAACGAAACATCTGATCAAAAGTCTAATAACATCATCATGTAGTGGAAGAGAAGTGGTAATGAAAATGTGGAGGTTATTTCGTCAAGAGATCCTCGCGGCCATTGAGATTTCGCCATCCTATTGTCCGGTGATTTTGCAAGGCATTACGAGACGTGACACGATCCCAATGTTAATTTTAATTAGTCCTCGCAAATAAGGTGTGCAAATTTTTGTCTACCAATTTTTCCCAACTTTAAATTTTTTATCCAAGTTTTCCCAACTTTCGATATATTTTAGAATATAATAAGAATAATTATAATATCAAAAAACGAAATTCCAAATGGATTATATCCCAACTATCAATCCCCGACTCGTTAGAAACTGACAACAAACCTCAAAATGTTAAAATCAATAACCAAAGGTTAAAGATTTGCAGAAGGCAACTATTGGCAACATTACTCACGAGTGCCAACCTAAATCCCATTTTATAGGCAGATTCGGTTATGATCTGACACCATTATGTCTCTTTTTAACTAGGGTTGAAAAAGAAGAGAAAATGCGCTGTGGGCTTAAAACGAATTTTAATTTCTTACAAACTGCAATTGGCAATAATTTCGATGTCATTGATGACCTGCAACCATTATTTTAATAATTTCACTATAAAATCTGTTTTTTTTTTAAAGATAATTCCCCAAGTCAAAAATTTAGTAAAGCCTGTTTTTTTTTTTAAAGATAATTCCCCAAGTCAAAAATTTAGTAACTATGTTCATGTTGGCAACACAAGCCTTTTCTACATAAAAAATTTGAAAGCATTGACAATTTTACATTGTATTGCCAACATAATGTCAGTTTGACTTTTATCTTTAAAAAAAAACAGATTTCAACTATGTTGGCAACACAAGCCTTTTCTACATAAAAAATTTGAAAAATTGACACTTTTACATTGTATTGCCAACAAAATGTCATTTTGACGTTTATCTTTAAAAAAAAAACAGATTTTACCTAAAGTATGTTTTTATTTTAAAGATAATTCCCCAAGTCAAAAATTTAGTAACTATGTTGGCAACACAAGCCTTCTCTACATAAAAAATTTGAAAGCATTGACAATTTTACATTGCCAACAGAATGTAATTTTGACTTTTATCTTTAAAAAAAACAGATTTTAGTTTTTTTTTTGTCTTTAACGTAAATAGGTAGGTAAGTACAGGGTGTCCAAGATTCGATGGTTTTCGGGGGGTTTCAGGTATTTCTAGAGAAGTTGGAAAAAATCTGACCCCCACTTGTGAGCCTCAATTTTCAAGAGAAATTTTATTGATGAAAACCGCATCTCGATATGTCGTTTTTATGCTACAAGGTGTTTTTGGAAAGTTTGGAGTTTGGCAGGGGGGCTATAACTTTTTTATTTATGAAAATTTGGTCAACTTTTCCTCTTGTAGCTTAAAAACGAATCGAGATATCGAGATGCGGGTGTCACCGGTCAACTTCTGTTGAAAATTGAGGCTCGCAAGTGGTACCCGAAACCTGCTAAAACCATCGAATCTTGGACACCCTGTACATATGTACGATTGGGTACAACCCATTTAGATGAATAAATAAATAAATAAATAAACTAGTGGTCAATTGGACGGAAACAAAATACAAATTTAACAACAAAGCAATTTTATTGCTACTTCAGATTTTACAATAATACTTAAATTATTAAATTGACAAGATATACTTACAAAGAGCAAAATAAATATACATACAAATCAGTAAGCTTAAAATTCATTTTAAAGTCGAATCAATTATTAGGATTTTTTACAATAAATTTTTTTAAAGCAACTTCACCGGACAGAGATATACTTAGTGATTTTTGTTTAACCAATTGGACATTAAAATTGCAATTTCACATTTCTTTTTACTTATAATTTAACATTAATATTGTCATTATTTATTCTAATAGATGATTTCGATATTACAATTTTTCAACAACTAGTTCAATCTAAACAAGTGACTTAAGTTCATGCTTTTTTTTCTAGGAAAATACTGCCATTAATAAGTTTTATTTTATTGCTGGACAATCTGTCAACATTTTTGTTCATTATTATCTGAAAATTATTTTGAATGAAATGAAAATAAGTATGTAGTGATTTAACATTAGATATTTTTAGTAGGCTGTCAAAATACTGTGAAAAAACATAATAATCTTAAGTGGCTATCACATGTTTAATTTTTGTGACATTTTTTATGGTTGATACTGTTACACTGTGAAACATCTAGATTGGCAGTAAATTATTGAATTCTCCGTTTTACTAGTTTCTTTTGCAACATGAATGTAAAGTAAAATTATCTATCACAAAAACTTATTATTTATAATAAAAACAAGAAAAATTACCTACTAAAAACATTAGGGATTTTTTTGATATATTTTCTTTCATGCCAGAATTCTTATTGTTTCATGTAGGGATACTCCACTTCTGTTAGTGGTACGAAGGTTTCCTTGATAGCTTGCGGATTACCCCATCTGAGAGCGTAATGTGGGCCACCAGCTTTGTCGTTTGTGCCTAGGAAAAAAATTGTGCGTGTTTATTTAGCCATGAATAAATCATTTATAAGAAAAAACAAGTCTCTTGTGTGAGACATTTTTTAACATTACCTGATAATCTTGCACCACCAAATGGTTGTTGACCTACAACGCTGCCTGTTGACTTGTCGTTAACGTAGAAATTACCGGCTGTCATTTTCAGTTGTTCTAGAGCAGACTTAAGGAATGCTCTGGAAAAAGTAAAATTTATAATCCATACTACTTTGTAGAAATGCAAATTGAAAAAAAAAAACTGTTTAATATTATTTATGCAAAATAAATATTAAAATTTAAACTCTTACTCGTCTTTGGCAAAAACAGCTCCAGTCAATGCGAACGAAGTTGAAGTACCTATCAAATCTACTGTTTCAGCTAATTGACCATCTGGGTAAACGTAGATAGACAAAACAGGGCCAAAGATTTCCTCGGTCATGATCTTATCTTTGGGGTCTTTGGACTGGACAATGGTAGGCTCAATAAAGTATCCAGTGCTAAATATTATCATGCTTTAATTATTGTTCAATTAATTGGATAAATGAATACCTGTCGTCGTATTTGCCTCCACCAATAATTTCCAAATTGGGAGACTTCTTGGCATGTTCAATATAGCCGGTAATTCGTTTAAATGCTTTATCGTCTATCACAGCTGATGTGAAACTGTTGTAGTCAGTTGGGTCTCCAATTTTCAATTCATTGCGTTTTGCCAGTAACTTGCCTTTGATCTGAAAATAACTCTCGTTCAAAATTTCGAAACTTTGGAATTGAAATAATCAAGATTCAGCCTTTAAAAATATTTTGTAAATTAGATCCTAAAAGGCAGAGGCTGTAAAATGTAATTTGGAGCTATCAACAGTAAGTTATTTCTATTTATTTTAGAATGTTTCATAATTATTCTCATACATTTTCAATGATCGTTGATGAGATGAGCAAGGGAAAAAAATTCATAAAAACATATTTACCTTAGGCCACAAAGACTCGGGAACATACATCCTACTGCAAGCGCTACATTTTTGCCCGCAAAACTCGAAAGAGCTTCTGATAGTACCATTGACAACTGTATCTACATCAGCACTAGGGTGGACAAAGTGATAATTTTTACCACCACATTCGCCAATTAATCTCGGGAAGTTTTTGTAGATGCCAATATTTTGACCTACTTGCTTCCAGAGACGTGTAAACGTACTAAAATAAGGTTCATTAAAAATGTGTAAAAATAACAAAATTGTAAAATTCTTACGGTACACTTCCAGTGAAATTAATTCCAGCTAAATGCGGTGACGCAGTAATAGTGTCACCAAATACAGGTCCATCGGAAGGTACGAAATTAACTACACCTGGCGGTACTCCAGCTTCCAAGCATATTTTGAAGTTTACCCAATTGGACAGTAAAGCGGTGTCACTGGGTTTCCATAGGACAGCATTACCCTACAATAAATCTAGGTGAATCCATTAATAATTTTAAAAAATTATAATTTTTTTTTTTTGATATTTCCTCCTGAAATCAAATAAGTACAATGCGTAGATTTATTACCATTAATGCTGGAGTATAGGCCAAATTTCCACCAATGGCAGTGAAGTTGAATGGAGAAACGGCAGCAATAAAACCATCAATGCCTCTATATCTCATTGAGTTTTTGGTAACTTTTGGGTTTTCCGAAATGGGTTGATATTTGGTGGCTTCTTTGACAAAATAGGCATTTAATCTAAAACAAAAAAATAATATACATATTGCTGAGTATTTTGACACTAGGAATTCAGAGAAAAAACTGGAAGGATTCCTAGAGTGACTGGAAAAGTAACTCCTCAGGTAGCCATTATTTGGAGGCTTCTATGGACGACTTAATGGGTTTATGTCATTTCAAAGGACTGGTTGCTAAAAAAAATTGACTTACCGAAAGAAATCAATAAGTTCAGCAGCAGAGTCGATTTCAGCTTGTACCACTGTCTTCGCCTGTCCCAGCATTGTAGCAGCATTCAATTTGGATCTGTATTTTCCAGCCATTAAATCTGCAGCCTTATCCCAGATTCTAAACCTGAAAATACCCAACAGTAATAATTGCAAAATAAAATCAAATTGTATTTCTAGCTACCTCTCTGCAATAGGAGTTTTGTCCCATTTCTTTTGAGCTTCGCAAGCTACTTCAATTGCTTTATTAATTAATTTGGCGTCGGCATAGTAGAATTTGGCAATTTTCTTTTTATGATTGTGGGGCATAACCTTAACAATTAAATTTTAATAAAATACCCTTTTTGAGTCATGTGCAATGATCTATACCTGATATCTAACATCATTGTTCTTAAACTCCTTGTCTCCAATCACAATCGGTACATCCTCGGTCTTGCTTGCGGTTTCTTGCAGGGCTTTTTCCAATTCAGCTCTTTCAGGAGATCCTTTGAGGTACTCCAGGACAGGTTCATTTTGCACACCAAAGTCTTCGACTTTGACTTCAGGTACCACTGAGCCTAAGCATCGAACAGCAGTTCTAAACAAAAAATTGGCTCGATAAGATTATGCTTCGAAGTAAACAAGTTGAGTATTAATAATTGTCGGTTATTCCAAAGGTTTTTGAGTGTTTTGTGACTGAAAAAATCTCCCCATGCTTTAGAAATGTTCTCTCGACTGCTCAACATGGATTCATTAAAGGAAAATCAACTATTTCTAACCTCTTATTATATCAAGATAATCTTGTTAATGCTGTAGAATTGGGAACTCAAGTAGATTCCATCAGCACTGACTTCAGTAAGGCTTTTGATAAGGTTAATATATCTATGCTTACAAAAAAATTAGAGGCCTTGGGCATTCGGGGGACTTTTTTGGCATGGATAAATAGCTTTCTGGGCGGTAGAGTACAATACGTCAGAATTAAAAATTTTATTTCATTTCCAATAAATGTCGTATCTGGTGTTCCTCAAGGAGGACATCTTTCTCCCTTGCTATATAAATGATGTTGAAGATTTTATCCATCACAGTGACATATTGTTGTATGCAGACGATTTGAAGTTGTATAGGCCTGTTAAGTGCATATCAGACTGTAAGCAGTTACAACTAGACCTGAATTGTTTTGCTCTGTGGTGTCACCTGAATGACCTAATCCTTAATTTAAATAAATGTAAAACCATAACCTTTTCTAAATCTCATGCATCAATTTTTTATGAATATAAATTAAATGATCAAGTAGTTGAAAGAGTGGACTCTATTAAGGATTTGGGAGTTACATTTAGACAGGACCTAACATTTAACTTACATATTGAGAATATTTGTAATAGGGCAATGAAACTTTTGGGATTTGTATTTCGCACCCTCAAAGATTTTAATAATATTTTTACTATAAGGAGCGTTTACTGTTCTGTAGTGAGATCCCTTTTGGAATATGCTACCCCAATTTGGTCACCACATTATGGGGTCCATATAAATTGTGTTGAGAGAGTTCAGAAACGGTTTCTAAGGTATATTGCCTATAAGATGCATATACCATCAGAAGAGGTCTGCTACAATGACCTGTTGCGGTTGCTGGGTCTTTCTAGTTTAGAGGCACGTAGAAGGAATTATGATATTTGTTTACTTTTCAAGTTGCTTAATAACTTAATTGACTGTCCCCCTTTGTTGAACAGCATTTCCCTGCGTGCCCCTGTGAGACAGACTAGGCAAGTGCATCTTTTTCATAGCGAGTATCATAGGACTAATTATGGTTTTTTCTGCCCTATGGCTAGAATATGCAGAGAAGCTAATCAGCTACCCAACAATTTTGATTTTTTTGGCATGTCTCTGAAAACTTGTAAACATTTGTTAAATAGTCTGCAGCGCTAAATGTCAGTGTATTTATATGTACCGTAAATGTTAAATTTTAAGTTCTTGTGTTTTTCGTTAATATTATAACGTCATATATTTTTGTATTATGTTATTTACTGTAAATGGCTTGTCCGTTAATAAAAGTTTATTTATTTATTTATTGTGCCTGTGACAGTTCTGTTTGCCCACGTAATAACTTCAAAAATATTAGATATAAAGCAAAAGCAAAACTCAAATAAAATTAGAATGTTATTGCCAGGCTAGTTTGTTATCCAAGTTTCTATTTATACTTTTTGGTAGTCTATGAATAGGATACTAAGTACTTGACTGGTAAAGATCAGGATCAAGTCCAAAAATTTAATGCATATTCAAGGAATCCTTCTGGCATTAAATTTTATTATGTAACTAAAATGTTATAAATTCCTTTTTAATAACCTATACTTAATTAATTATGGTTGATATCCAACCAAGTAATTACTATTTTCCTTAATTTTCCTTACATATTATATTCTTGTCTAGTAGGTATCAAACAAGGTGCTCCAGATAAAAATGTTTTCTGCGGGGATCTTACCGTAATAATATATGAATAAGGTATTAGCAAGAAAAAATTGCTCAATATAAATAAAGTTTAGAAAAAATATTTTTTTTCCTAACTCCTGGGCGAAAGGAATGAATGTCTAAGAAAAGGTTCTATATTTTTTATTAGAATTTCTTAGTTTCTGCTGTAAGAAACTGATAATTCTACCCGTTGTCTGATAAACTGATTAATGAGTAGGTCAGTATCATTGCCAGTTGGGGGAAGGTTGGCAACCTCAACATGTGAAAAAAGTCCTTGTTATAAGAGTTCAAAAATAAAATTCCGGACTGCTATCTGAACAACGACTTGACGAAAAAAATACATAGGTACCTATGACTAGGATAATAAAAAACATGGGAGGTAAGATCATTTATTATATAAGCTTGGCAATCTTTAAATTTAGGAATGTAGTAGTGAAGGTAGTAACAGAAATTATAGAAAATAGCAAAATTATATTTTCTTGCTGCAGATAATAGATCCACTGCTAAAAGAGTTGGAAATGCCTTACTAGATGTTGATTCACTTTCACCCAAACTAACCCAAGAACCAAATAAATTAAACACAAAAAAAAGTTTGAAGATCTCAAGCGGATATGAATGCTTGTAGCCCTTGTAGGTTTGAACTGTTGGCTAATTTGCGTACTCATTACCAACTAGAAATTCTATTTCTAGAATGGCGTATTGGCATGTTAAGTTACAACTGCAAAAAAATACATCAATTGATCCCATTTGTCAAACATAGTAAAGTAACCAATAAAACTAATTTACTGATTGATTTATTAACAACCAAGTCTCAATCAGGATACTATTGCATTGGTGCAACTACAGTTAACTCTATTGACATTACGTTGGACACTAAGCTTAAAATGACGAAGCAACAAAACATTTATACTTATAATGTGGAATAAAAAACCCATATAGAAACCTAGCAGTTTCATCAGATTTTCTGCCTATTAGCATATTACAAATTGATAATAACTTTGGAGGTTCAAACCTCTGAACTCAGCAGATTTGTTAAGGGAAAGCTAAATAATTTTTGACCCAGGAACTCCCAAAGCAAATATATATAACATAGGTATACCCCCACGGATCTTCATGAAACAGAAAACCTGGATCCAGATATGTATAAATGAAAAGTTGAAAAGAAATTTGGAAAAGTTAAGTTAAGAAGACTCAGAAAATAGCAATGTTAAGATGGGAACACTCGCGAAAACCCAAGGTTCGAGATAGAAAGCATGGAAGCCTATGCCGGGTCCAGACCAAGCAGACAAAACAATGACAAGACAAATAAATTTATCCGATAAATTTCTGCAACAATTTTGCCTTTTTTTTGTTTATTTCCAAAGTCCGAGACTTTTGAAAGTCCCGTCATGAGTCGGTGAAGATCAAAGATTCTTTGTTTTGTTTGTGTATTTTACGACAAGTTGTCGACGCAGTGTTTACGGGTGTGCTGACAAAAGTAGGAGACCAATGTCAATCAGTGGAAAATTGCAAACCATTCTGTTACACTTATAGCATTTCAGTAGTCAGTATGTCTTTTGGCAACTGCAGAACCAACAATTTGATTCTTGAAATCTTTGGTGGAAAATTCTTGAAGCTTGAGCGAATCTCACCACTTAGTCCAATATCATCCTCACGTAACTGAACTAACTATTTATAGAATAATTTTTTCGGTTTATTTAAGCTTGGTCTCACACAAAAATGTTTCCATTTCATTTGTCCAACATTGGATGAAGATTTGAGAAAGATATAACAGCTGGGGGCTAGAAATAAATCTTCATTTTTTGATTTTTTTTTCTGGAAACGCCACATGGTCAAGCAGATGATTCGCATCAACCAACAACTAAATTTTGTTGCACATTTTTGTTTTTCTGGTGTGGACAGTTTGTCTCAATACCCAAATTTTTGTCGCAGTTTTGTCGTGTTTTTGTTTCAAAATCGTGTTTACTTTTTACCTGCTTGGTCTAGACCCGGCACTAGTAAGACCAAATCTTATATTGCGTTGTACGAGGCGTTGTAGCATCACATGTCAGAGAACTATCTACTTATTCAAATTATCTGTTACCCAGGGTGTTTAGTTACTCTTAAAAAAAGGATCTTACAAACGTTACTTTTTAAGATACCCACTTAACAAGATAGTTATTTTATTATTATTAAATATTATTATATCACAAATCACAATTTAATTTTTATAGCCTCATAACGTAAAAATCGTGAAGTCGACTTTTGAAGTTCACAATCAACTGCAAAGAAGGATCTGAGAAGGTGTGATATTCAAGTATTTCAGATAAAACACGAAATAACATCCAATTACAGATGCTGCTACTACTTCCGATATGACCTTCTAGGAAGAAGAAGAGTAAGTTTTGGCGCCGTCTGAAGAACTTTAGAATGATTTGTTGGTTTGTTTCAACGATTTCGGATTCGTCCAGTGAAAGAAAGAAAGAAATTTGCTTTTAATTTGTTGCACATGTCAAAAGAGCAGGTTAGAGATCTTGAGTTATTCAAAAATATTCTTTGGACAGATGGAGCCAACTTTACTAAGAAAGAGGGATGTATAACAGACATGACACCCATTTTTTGTCTCAAGAAAACTACAGAAGATATCAAACTATATCTCAAGGAAGAGCATCGATCCATGTCTGGTGTTGTATACTTAATAATGAAATTATTGGCCAATGGTTGATTAACTGGTCAAAGATATTTCGACATTCTCGTAAAAAGCATTGAAAACCTTTTGAAAGAATTACCCATAATGGAATATTGAAACATTATTTGGCAGCAGAATAGAGCCGAGGATGAAGCTCTACCTCATGCTGTGTAGTTTTTAAACAACAAATACAAGGAGTGAATTGGCAGTAATGGGACTATCAGGTAGCCACCAAATAGTCCTGATATTATGGTAATGGAATCCTATGGTCATTTGAAAAATGTTGTCTCGTATTTTTTTGACTTTCCAGGAGACAGGAAATCATTATTTTACCCAGGACTTTTTTTTCAATACTAAGAATTAGTGAAGTTAAATTTTAGTTTTTATAGAAAAAAATACATCATAAGTATGGCTATTTTGGATTTTTTCAAAAATACAGGGATAGTCATACATTTTCCCCTGTTTAG